CCCTCTCTCCCTTCTCCTCCCTCTCTCTCTCTAGGAGGGTCAATTAGGTCGTCCTCCTTCTGATGACAAAGAGTGGCACATGATTCCAGGTTGTGTCACTCTAAGTGATTCTTACAAGTCAAAGTGGATATCAGCATCAAACAATCAGACCTTTATATCAGTCGATGAATCACTTGTTTCTGATGATTTGTTGAACAAAACTGTTGTATTTGGACACACTGATTGTATAGGTACATTTTACATGCATACATGTAGCACATGTAATAACTACATACATGTACATGTACATGTATGTGTACATGTACATGTCTGTGTACATTGTATTTCAAATGGTGATTTTCTTGTAGCATTGAGGCATCATATAGTACATGTACATGTACATTGTACATGTACATTTTTAAACATGTATATGTATTTTAATAAATTTATAGAATTCTTTTTAATTTTTTGGAATCAGCTTCAATTTTCTACACAGCATAAGAATGCATAAAAAATGTATAAAAATGAACTCCTAGCCATTTTGACGAAATACATGTACTGTAAATCAGGCATACATACATGTATATGTATTTTAAGTGGTGATTTTTTTATAGCATTGAGGCATCATACAGTACATGTACATGTATAAAAACATGTATATGTAATTTATAAATTTATAGATTTCTTTTTAATTTTTTTGGAATCAGCTTCAATTTTCTACACAGCATAAGAAGACGTACATGTATATGCATCAAAAAATTATAAAAGTGAACTCCTAGCCATTTTTGACAAAATACATGTACATGTACCCTGTGCTGTAGTTTAGGGTATTTCATGGAAGGAGTGACCAATTCTTTCTCTCTCTTATATAATGTTAAATCCTCCTATCATTAATGTTAATCATTGCTAGGTTTGCTGCCTCCTTCAATTGATGAAATGAAGTCAAGTCTTGTTGTTATTAATCCAACCACTTTACTATCTAAAAAGTTAGTTATTGGAGTTATGTACATGTTACTTGTATATTTACATGTACATGTACAGGTACATGTAAATCACTGTTATTGAGAAGAATATTTGGATTATTTTAGTTACACACGTACATGTGCAGTATGTTTTTAAACTAGGCTATGTATGTACATGTACATTGTATAGCCTTGGGTATTTTTCAGAATTTTGACGTTTTTTTAAAATGGCTATAACTTGAAAAATTGAAGTCGGAATCACCTCAAACTTTCTACACAGCATGAGGACATCAATATGTATCAGAAAATGTAATGAAAATTTGAGGTGATTCCGGAGCCATTTTTTGGAAAAAACCAATACTATTATTATGCTGATGTGATAGTGAACTTTTTATTATGTTTTAAGCCTGCAATAAACCATTTACATGTACATGTACATTTGCCTGTTTTGATCATGTGACTATCATGTGACGTTACATGTACATGTATTCTCCAATAGGTTGGACGGTGATGAGCAAGAGTCTCTCAGTGGGCGGAGTCTGTGTATCGATCCAGAATATAATGTTCTGTGGAGCTTTGATGTTAGCAGTTTTGAAATATGCTGTTATAATCCTGTAGCAGCTGAAGTTAAAGGTTTGAAATGATCCTCTTCCTCCCTTTTCTTTTTGCCCTTTTTCCTGAATACACATTCATAGTTCTGCCTATTGTGGTCGGGGGTGGTCGGGACAACCACCTCAACAAATGAACGAACCAGTTCATCACTTAGACCAACCATCCAATTAATACTAATAACCATACATAAAGCATGATACTGTAGTCTAGTAGTATAGTGTACATAAATAAAAAGGAACAATATTAGTCTCCGACCACCTCTAATTTTATTCTAGGCAGAACCCTGGTACATTTATGTTTGTTATTTTGTTTCATGTGAACATACCAAGACAGTATTTATGTAGTTATGTGATCATTAATGTACATGTGCATGACACCACTCTTGATGACACAAAGCATGCAATTCACATTGTGTACACTAAGAGTGGTTAACTTGATCTCTTTCTCTCTCTTCTTTCATTTCTATCTCTTCCTTCATTCTCTATTGCTCATTATTTCATTATGTGTGTACACAGTTTACTTATTATCATGTAATGATGTATCTTATGTGA